GTAGTCCCAGTATGTGACTAAAATGGTACTGTATGAAGTGTTCTGTATCTGGCAGTACAGTCATAAACTGTAGCACCCCATTGGGAACACAGCACTTAAAGTTAATAGAGTAAACCAACCTGCTGGGTGTTCTGGGATAAGCCATAAGGTTTTTCCTCCCACTTCTGCCAAGACTTGACAAGACCTCTGTTAAGTACATCCCACCAGCCTGAGTACAACAGCTCCCCATAGGGAAGAATATGGCTGTCAGCTGGGGTTTTTCCAAATTAAGTCTTGCAAACAGTCTGCAGAGCTTGTACAACAGTTAAGAGAACCAGGCATTTAACCAATCTGCCAGCAGAGAACTAAAGCACACTGTGTGCTCAGTAGACTTTGTGCACAGTAAAGGGGTAATTTCATACTGATTTTGCACTGAACAATTTGTTGAGACGACAGCAAAGAGAGGCTCTAACCTGCCAAATGATTTCCTGCTGATATTCAGACAGATTTAAAGTTCTGCATTAACAGCCAACAGCAAAGAGTCTCAAGATGAAGTCAGTGAATAAACCATCAAAAATGTCATTTACAAACACTGCACTTCAACAGAGCAATGAGTTAGAACTAATGCTAAAGAGATTTGCAGAAACTCTGCAAATACAGCAGAACCTAGCCATGTGGCAGCTGAGTACAGGCCTTTTCTGCAGAACATTTGCTTTCTTTGAAGCCTGAAACACTGCAGTACAGACTTGAGACAACGTGGAACACAAAATGAACTTGACATTTTAAACAGGATCATCTGAAAATATTCAGATAATATTTCAGAAAATATCTGAAAAAGTTACTTGATTCTGAGCAAATTATCCAAATGAATGAATGTGTTAGTCTCTTTTGGTTCAGACAGAATTAGTTTTAATTTTTTTATGAACTCTCTCTGCTCAAGGGGTGTTTGCACAGATGAAGAATTGAGAGTAATTGCCTACATTCAGTTCTACCTCCAATATTAATGTTTGTTCATATGACTGTCAATTTTTCCCAGCAATCTTAAAAATGACAGTACAAAACCAGCCACTTTCAACATTTTCCTAATTGGCTAGATTCTAGAATTTGGATTAACTTTATAGAAATGAGTCTTTACTACACTAAAGTTAAATTTTATTTCTAGAATCCAGTAAAATATGGGATGAAATTAATTACGGGAGCTTATTATTATTATTGGAAACTTTTCACCAAAAATCAGTGGAGAAGATATTTTTTTCTGATTTCATACATATGAAGAGATCTTTCATCTTGGAAACTGACTGTCCTGCTTTATTGATATTCAGTGAAACAGAGTCACAAAATTACCTGTAAATTAGTATACCGTGAACAAAGGAAAAAAAAATACCTAGCAGCTCTACTTGTAGGAATTCCAAGATAGTGCATGGCCTCACTGCATAAAAACTCCCGAAGAGAAGAGCGAAGCACAGCTCTTCCATCACCATTCCTATGGAAAATAGAGACATAAAGAATAGGTCATAAAATCAAGGCAAATTTCAAAAAGAAAACATTCCATTTTAGAGCACAGAGAATAACTGCATTTTACCTGGAGTATGGGGTCTTTCCTGACCCTTTTAACTGTAGTTCCCACCTCTCACCATGCCTGCAAAAATACCATTGGCATTTCTAACAACAGGCCTCGGGTTAACCATGAACCAGCTAAACTGAACACAGACAACAGACATTTAAACAAAATGTCACACCTGTTTGTATATACTCCAATCAAGTGGGCTCTTCCATCTCCCAACTGACCTGCCCAGCTACCAAACTGCCAAAAATTAAAATTAAGTTATTGTCCTCTATCATTTATAGAAATTATATTTGAAACAATACAGATTAAATCTAGGTCGCCACAAAAGACACATTTGCTCATATTAAAATGTTGATCTCTAAAGCTGTATTGCCACACTCACTCAAAAAATGAATCAGAAAACCACAGGAAAAGAGTAACAAAAGTAATCCTCTTTTTTTCTTTACCTTCCAGCTACAATGTACAACTACAGACCTGTCTTTTTTGTATAATGAGCCTTTAAACCCACATGGCTTGTTTTGGTTTTTTAAATTGGAAATTACAAATCAAATTCTACCATTATTCTCCATGAATTACCATGGTCATTTAAATGAAACCTGAATCTTAGTACTCATGGTGTTGCAGTGAGGCTCTGTCCTTCTCTGCTCCTCTGAGCTATCACGACCAGAGCTGGCCAGGTTGCTGGGGTGCTAAGCAGACTCAGCAGCTAATAAAAGTTAAAAAGATAATTCAATTCAGGCATAAACAAAAGCAGAGCAAGTAAACAGGGTACTGTGGAAGGATATTATAGCTCTTTTCCACCTGCAGCCCGTTATGAAGAACAAGTTTGCAATCAATATGTCAGTGAGTGTTCATGTACTCACAGGCACATACTCATGTACTCACAGGTATTATCAAGGTGTAAGTCACGAGAAAAGACCTACACAATTCCAGCTGGAAAAACGAGTACCATACTTACCTGGTGACCCCCATACCTATGGGCCAGTGGAACAGACCCAAATGCCACTTTCCCACCACTGACGAACTCCAGGAAATCAGATGATTCTTTGACAGATATATCAAGATCTAAAATATTTTCAAGAACATCCTGAAGAAAAAAAATAATACTTGAACATGATCAAATTTTCAGTGGTAATGAACATGTTTTCTCTACAGATTTCATCATTACAAGACATCTCACAATATGTTTTAAATGCTCTGTTTGTTTAAAGTATATATTGAGAAGATGTTTCACGACAAATAGCCTATGAATATTTAAATCTACTTTAGTACATGTATTAGTAATTTTTACTAATTAGAGAGGAATAAAAAACAATAGCCAACCTTTGAAACAGCTACAAGACGAACTCTAGATTTAAAAGGTGTAGGATAGACAACTGAAAAAATGCAATTTCTCACATTACGGACATAATTTTCATGGATCACGTCAACTGGAAAAATATCTGTAAACATGAAACAGACAACAAATGCAATATAAAAAACAATTAATTTTGTTATTCTTAATATGTTTCCTCTTAAATCCAGCCAAAATGTTTTAAAAAAATTAAAACTCGTAACATTACAACTTTACCAATGTGTATTAAGCCTTCATGAAAAGCAAGTCCAAAAAAATTTAGGATTTTATCGTTTGGAATTTCTGAAAAGGACTAAATTCTGCAGTGCAAGAATCTACCAGGGCATTCTAGTTTTAAGATCTAAATCATATCTAAGAACATCTTTAATAGACTGTGGCAGTCTCAGGGCAGTTTGATGTTGCACTCAATTATATACAGACTAAAAGATATCTGCAGGAGATTCAGCTTTCCCCACAGCTGAACAATGTAGTGCAACAGATTTAAGTTACTGTGCACCAGTAACTCTGTGTACAGTCCACATGCAGCAATGATCACCACGCAACCTAAGAAAACAGATGAAGTATTTTCTGAGTAATGTAAACAGTGAATGAATGAGTTAGAAGATGTAGCTCTTCCTGTAGCATACATGTGTGCTTCATTCTTCCTTCAGACCTACTCTGTGCCCTCTTCCATGGTAACAGAGGACAAATATTGTTTTAAAACAGTGTGATTTACTATCTTAGCTTGGAGCAATCTTACAATTCCGCATTAGTTATAAAATCTCAGTACCTGATTGTTACTGTTTTGTAAAAATTTTAAGTTAGTTAGCATCTCCAAAGCCTTGCTGCTAGCCATGTTTCTCATTACCTCTAATGACAGGTCCTGTTATATCCAGCTGTCACAAGAGTTATCACTATTATTTATTAATGCTTACAAGTAACTGTGTCACCTAATGAAATTAGTTCTGTAATGTTATCATATCAATTAGCATTATGATTGCAAACAGTTTTGTATGCCCAAGAGCTTGAATGCTGTGGGTACTTCCAGAGAGGTGTCAGGTTATCAACTCTGCACTAACATGTAATTGGGACTCAGGCAAAAAAAAAAAGGGGGGGGCGAAAAAAGGGGAGGGGGAAAGGCTCCTTATGACCAATCTAGTTTTAATTTTAGAACTAGTATTTGACTGTGTGTATCAGGTCTTCACTTAGTTACTGCTTTAGGCGCTGCTACAACCCAACAAGCAAAAGCAGGAGAGGAACACAGATCCCCAGGACAGGACAGGAGAGGAGCAGAGAGCCCCGGGAAAGGGCAGGACACGAGGACAGAGCTCGGGGACAGGGCAGGACAGGAACACACAGCCCCAGGGCAGGGCAGGACAGGTGTACAGAGCCCCGGGGCAGGGCAGGACAGGTGTACAGAGCCCCGGGGCAGGGCAGGCCGTACCTAGGAGGCTGTCGGAGGACAGGGCCCAGGTGCAGAGCTCCGCCGCCCGGCGCCGCGGGCACTGTCCCGGCTCGGGACGGGAGGCGTTCGGGGCCGGGCAGAGCCCGCGGGAGCCGCACAGCGCGGCCACACAGCCCCAGGCCAGGCAGGCGGGCAGCCACGGGCGCCACCACATGTCCCCAAGCCCCGCCTTCCAGAGTCCTCCACGAACCCGGCCTGAGGTCTCCCGCCCTCAAAGAGGGCGTAGGGGAGCCTGCCCGGCACCCTGCCGGAGGGCGGTGGTGGCGCGGAGCTTCCGCGTCCGGGTCGCGGCGGTGCCGGGAGGCGGTGCCGGCGCGGCGGGGCTGGGGGACACCATGGCCTTGCGGTGGTGGTGGCGGAGCGGCGCCTGGTGCCGCCGGGCGCCTCCGCTGGGCTCCGTGCCGAGCCCCGGCCCCCGCTCCCCGCCGGCCCCCAGCGCGGCGGTGAGTGCGGCGGCGCCGGGCGGGCGCGGAATGAATGGGGCGGGGGGCGCCGGACCGGGCTGGGCTGGGCCGGGCCGGGCGGGCATCCGGGGCCGCCGCTCCTTCGGCGTTCCGCAGCCTCTGCCCGGGAGGAGCCACTGCCTGGGGCGGATCCCTGCCGGAGGGTCCGTGCTGGGGGGCAGGAGCGCGGTCGGTGCAAGGTTAAATTCCGGATTAAGGGTTTTCAGCGCTGGTCAGTGTGTGAGCCTCTCGGAGCCGGCCCTGGGTGGGAGCGGGGAAAGTGGTTCTCATTAGCGTGAGATTTTGAAGGCGTTTGTCTGTGTTAGCGTTGTAATGAGGGCAGTTCATTCACTGCCTTGGTTTGGAGCTTCTTCAGCCGGCCAGGCGGCGGCTCTGAGCCTCGCTGAGGTGCTCTGGCTGTCCTGACCCCGGGAAAGTGCTCTGGGCAATGTGTCCGGCATCCCGCACCAGCTGCTGTTGCAGGGTCAGGCAGCAGTGAAAAGGAGCCAGTGTGCGTGTGCCCGCACTGAAGGGAGAGTAGGAAGAGATCAGCTATTTTTAGCAACAGAACGCGGTGAGAGGTCCGAGAGAGCGACTTAGGAATGTCTCGGCCATAGGGCCGGACGCTGAAGTCAGACAGCAGTGGGTTTCAGATCTGTGATAAGTTAGGGCTCCTCGCCTTCCTTTGTCACTTGCCATGGCCTTGTGTAAGCATGGGGGATGGAAGAATGCCCTTGAGCCATTACAGTGCTTTTGTTTCTCTCCCACTGTCCAAGGAGAGAGAGAGAGAGAGACTTTAATCCACGAGGAGCGTTCCTTGAGCGTTTCCGTGTGAGTTGTTCCAGAGGCGGTTCGGTGAACACGTGGATTGCAGTGATTTTAGGTTGGCTCAGCCCAGCATTGGGCAGGGCTCGGTACTTCCTGGCAGCACTCCCAGGAGCAGAGCAAAAGCTGAACTTCCTTCCTCAGCCTGTATCTGCTGGAATCACGTACCTGGGACTGTGCCTTCCCCCACACTCCTGGGCTCTGTGCAGGGAGAGACCATTGGAGAGATTGCTAGATTTGGAAGTTAGGTTCTGGACATCCAGCAGAGAAGATGGGTAGGTGTAAATTATAAACAGCAGGCTGAATTGAAATTGTTTCAGAGGAAAACAATGACATGATTTCCTGTTAGTGTACTGAAACAGCTCGTCCTTTTCTCTGTCTTGGCTGGTGCAGTCCAGATTCGTTTGCCAGGCAGGGAATGTTTGAAGATTGCACCTTGCACAAGTGCAAAAGCAATGTTTTATTGGAGCAGCTTTGGTAATTTAACTGATAAGCTTCCTGGGCTGGTCCTGCGAGGGGAGAAAGTCCAGCACTCTGGAGCAGAAGAGTTAGTTCAGTGTGCCTGTTGGCACTCGTGTCTCACATTTTATGGAAGGGGTTATGAGACTTCCTTTGCTGCTGGGTTGTTAAAATGGCGAAATAGAGCAATGGTGATGGATACTTTTTTTTTTTTGGAGTCAAATGTTTTCTATCAATTTAAAGTTCTAATAAACTATCCCTGGTTTTATTTCGTGCAGATGTGTCACATTACCCAAAGAAGTTCAACTTTCTCATTTCCAAAAATATGTAGTATATTTTGGCGGTAAGTTGGAGATTCACATTGTTGTGTGGTGGGTAAAGACATAGTTACTGGGTGAACTGGGTAGTTACACCTCTGAGCTGTAAACTCTGGAAATAAGGTTATTAGCTCCAGTGTAGACTGCTGCTGTAGGGCTGAGTCTGGATCTCAGTCATCTATCCTGAAGAGTATGGGCAAAGCAAGAATGCTGCAAGAAAATACATATGGCTCACTTTGGAAAAGGAAACGTTAGAAGAAACTTCAACTCCAGGAAACAAGCAAACAAATCTCCTAAGTTTAATGCATTTTAATGCATCCAGGTAGAGCTTTCACCCTTTTTTGATGAACTTCCCTAGCATCATCATGCTATCTGGAAGTATTGATTTAATTTATTATGTAGCTGGGTATACAAAGGAAAAAATACTAAATCTAAGTCAGGAATATTTTTTCAGGAGTTTACAAGAGAGGGAAGAAAGTAACAGAATAGTTGGGTTTCCAGAAGTGAAGGCTCTGTCTTCAAATGTAGGCTACACTATCCACAGTGTATCCAAAAGGAATGCATCCAGAGCAAAGTAATGTTCTGTGTCTCAGAAGACTTCTGGGATCTGTAAAGGGCCGAGTGTGTGTGTTTGCCAAAAGGGCTTTGCCAGGTCCCAAAGGTTTATGATCATCAATACATAGCTCTGCTGTCCTTGCACCTTGCTGTCTGAAAATAATGTTTTAATGCCTTCATATATTTTAGCCATTTGGTTAAATGTATGTGAGGGGAAAGGGAAAGAAAGAAATTCTTTCAGATGTTTCTGTTTGGGGAATCAGGAGAATTTGACTTCTGACAAGACTACTCTCTTGAAAAACACTGTTAACAGGTTTCATCATACAAGTACATCCCACTGCTGCAGCTGCAGTAAGACAATTAGTAATGAAAAATACCAAGACCCTTTTCAGCTTGGTAGAAAAGACTTGAAGAATCTCTATGAAGATATTAAAAAGGTAAGGGATTTTGGTGACTATGCTGGGATGTCATGATAATTGTTTTTAATAGCAGCCGTCAGTTTGGAGGATATTTATTGAAAGGATGTTATTTTTGTTTATGAACAACTGTCTGAAACTTAAACTGAAAGCAAATGTGGCATTTCTCATATTTTATAGGACGAAAATGCAATTTTTTCTCCTGATTTGCAGTGCTGGAATGCATCATTTACATTCCAGATTACTCATAGTAATTCTGAAAACAACTTAAGCTTAAACTGGCTGAAATGAATGCAAGCAATAACCGTATACAGGCATACTGTTTTACTTACACCAAACAGACTGACTTTGTGACTTCTATGCTGAAATGCTCTTGTCCTTTTTATAGGAATTGCTGGTCTCTGCAGCAGAACTTAAGGAAATGTGTGATTATTACTTTGATGGGAAGGGAAAGGCCTTTCGACCAATGATTGTGGTGCTAATGGCTCGGGCTTGCAACATTCACCATAATAATTCCAAGTGAGTTGGTCACTTTCAGATACATCACTCTTGAAAGTTACCATTCTTGAGTTTCTGAAAAATACTTTATGACAATGAAATGCTCCTCAGTAGAACCTGAGTGTTAAGTTCCATCTTGAAGCTGTATTTGTACTTGTCAGTGCAAAAGGAACTGCTGGGTTTATTACATGTTTCCATGTGTTAAGTCATGGACTATACTGCACTTGTAATCGGGGTGGATAAATAATGTTGCTGAATTATGATGTTTGTATGGCTTTTAGTTAATTCTACCTTCTACCATAAATGTTTTGTTAGAATCTTTAATATTCTTTGAAACTTTACAAACTTCATTAAATATTTTTCATTTGTAACCACTCCTGTTCCTATTAAACTCTGGTCACAGGTAAGAACTTTGCTGTGAGAAGACACCTTCATAGATTTTTTTTGTAATTTTGTAGAAAAGCCATTAAACAGGTGGTATGATTATATTCAAAGCTGTGAGATTTTGAAAATGGTCAGTTTTTTTGCCCACCCTCCAGTTGCAATTTTCTACACTTTATGTAAGATTCTAAGCTAGTTAGTCTGCTGTAATCCTTATGATCTCCAAGTTACTTGTCTTTTGAAAGCAGTTTTAACTGAGCAGTAGGTCATGCTTGGCCTGTACTCTCTATCACTCCCGAGTCTGGTGAGTCTGACTCGTTACAAATGCTTCACTCCACACATTCCTGTCAAATGCTATGTTTGCATTTTGGAGAAGGGTGTTGGCTGGAGTGTTCTCTGCCTTCCAGCTACACTTCCAGTCTTGCCTTGTATAGAATTTCAAATAGATAATCTTTGGTCCCTTTCCAGAAGTGTTTCTAGACTGATTTGTCAGTCTTAATGGATTTCTCTGAGCTCCTGCACCATTTTCTTTCTGTAGGACTGTTTTAATGCCTTGTTGGCAGAGCATGGCATGCATTTTGTTGCATGGATAGCACCTCTCCCTGTACCCCCTTGTATGTGAATATAATTTTGAAGAAGAAAGCAAAATTGAGCTGGCAGTGTCCTGTCGTGTGTGTGCCAGTTCCCCTTGTTTGAGGAAAAATCATCCAGGATTAATGAACTTTGCTTTGGCTAGATTCTGTGTTCAGTTCAGGACTGCTTCTTGTCATTGACTTTGAGATAGCAAAAGGAACAATATTGGTTGTGGAAATGCTCAGGGATGCCTTTTGCCACTGTCTGGCTTACTATTTTCATGAGTGACCTTGACATGAAAAACAGGAATCTGAGAATGGCACATTTTGATGGCAGAATCTTTCTTGATGATCATCCATCTATGGTGAAATGTAAGGAAGCACAGTAAGCCAGAAATTTCTGCTTGAGCTTGTAGGGTCTTGGGTGTCCCATTAGGCATAACTCCCGTGTGGTTTGCAACCACCTTCATTGTGAAAAACCTCAGAGATATCCTAGCATGCATTAAACATCCAGTTCAACTACAGGAGTGTATATCACATTTCCTGAAATCATCTGCATGTCTGATCTCTGTGTTTAAAATAAGTTAAGTCCAGCTGGCTTCAGGGATGGATTGCAAAGACAATCACAAAGATTGAAAACTTGTGGTCTACAAATTCATCAGGAACAGGACAAAAGAGCTACTTCGGACAAAGCATTATGTTGCTAAGAGAATGGAAATTTAGGAGGAGACTTTTAACAACAGGACAGTGAGTTTTTGGAGCATCTTTGGAGTCAAAATAATGGTAAAAATAGTTTTATCTCGTTCAAATGTGTAGCATGAAAAGCTTATGAACAAAATCGTGTTTGCAGTACTGAGAAGGCTGGAACTGATGTCATACAGTGTGGGAGTTGAACAGTGAATCAAAGAGAGGTAGCAGTAGAAGGACTGCATTTGTCTGTATGCTCAAAGCATATTTGCTGTCTTTTGACATATGTATATGCTCATGGATATATTCTTGCCCACATGTTATTCTGTCTCAAAACTGTCAGGACCAGTAAGAAAGTGCTACATATGCCTGGGGCAAGTGCTTGCTTTGCAGTAGCCAACCCTTGGCATAAGTCCTCTGATTTCTGGATGCCTGTGTCATTTGGCAATGTTAGTACATCTGTTGTGGTTCTAATCAGCATCTCCAAAATATGTTCAGTGTTTAAAAGCGTCCTCAATAATCTGAATGTTCCTAGTACAAACCAGGCTGAGTCACCATCTTTGTCATGTTGCTTTTAGAATGAAATTCCAAGTGACAAGAACAGAAATGTTTCAGCAAAGGAATGGAATGAAATCATGGGGTATCTACCTTCCTCTTCTGTGCCCTATGCCAATTTCTCCAAGCCTGTGATTGGAATTAAATATTCCTTACGTTGATACAAGTCTTCACTGTACTGCTTGTTTGTTCATGCATGGTGATCAATGCTTCTGAGGGTTGGCAAGTCCATGCAAAAGGAATTTACATTTGTGCTTTGGATACCCAGTTCCTGTGAGCTGATAAAGTTTTATGGTTATTTTCTTCTCTTTTGCTTTTAAACTGCTTGAAGCAGGCTGCCTTGCAGCCTGCTCTGTGTATACATATACTTCAGTTCACATTGATACTATGATTGATTCATTACTATTCTTTTTTAAAACAACATTGTCTCCAGGTGACAAATTGTTCTTCTAACGTTCTTATGTTTGTGAGGAAAACTGTGTATGTGGAGAAGTAACACTGCATATTTTTAGCTCTGCTACTCTTCTGCAAAGCTGAGGGGAAAAGTACTTGCCTTACATTCTTCTTCCAGTGTTTTTTTTAAGATGTTTTTCCACTTTAAATTTGTCATTTCCCTTGAAGCCTTGTATCATTCTTTTCATCAGTTAATACTGATTCTTCTCCCAGGCTTGTTTTTCTTTGTTGAGGCTTTGGTTCCCACACATGTAACTGAAGAGACTGACCACGGTATCTGTGGGTTTGTAGGGTGAACCAATATCCTGTGCTGTTCATCTCTAGCATTATTTTTTAAACTTTGCCTCTGGGGTTTGTATTGCTGATGTTCAGTTTCTGCTTCATCTTGCTGCCATTCTCTACTGTAATATTACTTGCTGGACCCAGCATGTTTTTGCCTGCTTTTTCATTTTTTTTCTTCTTTTGTGCAATTTTTGTATAAAAGGTAATACTTTTCATTTTTTGGCTGTTAAAAATAACAGGACTCAATTTAAGAAGGCTACAGGTCCTGATCTTACAAGGCAGTCCCCAAGAGACCTTTTCCTCTTCACAGAGTCCCTGCAGAATAGCTGAGATTTCTCAGGAGAATGGAATGCCCAGGTGGCTCTGCTTGCAGGTTAGCTGACATTGATCATTTATGTTTAGGCTTGAACAAGGTGAAGTATTTACTGTACCTTCAGCAGGTTAACTATTTTTCTAGAGTGAGGTCATGTTATTGTGGTCATAATAAGGAAAATGACAGTTACATAAAGAATTATCTGAACTGTTACCAAAAAGGTAAGTGACTGAAGTATGTTGTTTCTTTTCTCTTGAAGTTTTAAGTGTCAGAAGTCCTACCCTGAGTCTTTAAGTCCCTTGGGCAGTGACTTTTTACTTATTGATAGCAACTTTATGTGAGAGTAAGAATTAGTGTAAATAGTTTAAGCTAGAGTCATGCAAACCCTTAATTTCACACATCCACTGTCATTTCTTCACATACCTGTGTGAAGAATTTCACAGAATTATCACTTAGCCCGACGGGACCTAGTGTTTCTGTATTCTCCAAAGGTGTTCGCAAATGAGAGTTTTATTTTTTTTCCTACAACCAAAAAGAGAGAGGCAAATAAGAGAGAGCCAAAGAAGTACAATGGCAATAGGGAAGACAGTGAGCACGAAAGTTTTGATGGCAGGGGGAGGGAAATAATTTTATCAGAATAGTGTGAGGCACAAATAAAATGACGTGGTTAAACTCGATGGAGTATTTCCCAAAGATAGGACCTGCCAGCAGCCTTAGTTCCCTTTTTTTTCAGTGCCCCAAACCATCGTTGTCAGAAGCCCGTGGTGTCAGCTGCTCTGCAGTTTTTTCCAGTGTTACATGCATTCTCTGTGCTTCCCCTAGTTTGCAGTGCCCTTCTGAGTCACAGACTGTTTCTGAGATGGTTGCTTCTTTCAGCCACAGGGCCCTATCAGGAGAAAGGTGCTTGGAGGACTGTGGCCGTAGCACAGAAATTTTGCAGCTTCTCATGCTCATTTCCTCTCCTTAAACTGGCCATATTTGCTTACTGGCAAACACGTTGTCTCCAAGCTCTTTGCTGGAGACTGTAAATACTGGTTTGTGTGGTTTTGAGTTTGCCCCTTTTTGTTGTTTGTTTTTTGTTTGTTTTGGTTTTGGACAGGGATATTTGGAGGGAGATATTTGGGGTTTCTTAACCTGTATGGTCAGCCTTGGCTTGTTCAGTGTTCATGAAGCAAGTTCTGTAATGGAAAACATCTCAGGGTAGTGTAGATCTATAAAACTTTATCACTGAATCAAGCAGAGGATCCTACTGAAAAACAGAACATGATCAATTGTATAAAATATCTGTGTAAATATGCATCATCTCGACGTGTCTTTACTTTGAAAATGACCTAAAAATGGCATCTTTCCACTTACTGGATTTGCAGGGACCCTATTATCTATTAAGTTGAGTTACTGCCACTTTTTGCTTTTGTTTTGCAGGAGAAGCTGAATGAAAAATGGCAGGGGATGAGAAGGATCCTGGGATTTGTGTGTTTTCCCCTAAAATAGGCGTGCTCTGATCTAGAATTAGCCTCACAAGATGCACGAAGGAAACTATTAGTGAACTTTTTTTTGCCAGCAGTGGGAAGAACCTTACTTGAGACTTTGTGGAAATAGTAGTTTTAAAACCCTTTCAGATTAAATTGTCATATTTGATACAACATTCTGGAAACCATGAACATTCCTATACCATTTTTAGTCATTGTCAGAGATAAGATAGAGTATAATGCAGAACTTTTCAGAACCTGCTTTTGAAATAACTGGTTTTGTGCTGTCTTCATACTACTGAAATATTTCAGTGTGTCAGTGAGTGTTGCCATTTACTGCTGCTTCCCAGCAGGAAATCCAGTCTGCTGACATAATTAATGAAAAAGGGAATCCCCAAAAGGAGAGCAGTGCATGAAAGAGGCTGGAGACCTTTACAGTTTTTTGAAGGTAAGTTTTCTCCTACTTACTAAAAGTAGTTAATTTTGGAAAACTATTTACATTGAACTAGCATTTGATTAAATCACTAGTCCACATTAAGACTTGCCTCCAAACAACCATAAAGGTTTCCAGTTCTTATTTTCTGTTGTGTGAAAACCATATTTTCACAGCCTATGAGCTACCCATTCATCCTGCTATTGTTCAGGATGTAGAACTCCCACTGACAGCAGTGCAGAGTTCTTTATAGAGGTAGGTGTCAGAACACAGTGTTATGTCAGCAGACTGCAATATGTTCTTTCATTTTGTGATTAATCACTACATTTTAATGGACATAGGAAGTGCAGGAAGTTTTAAATTCCCTTAGCTGAGCTGAAATTATCTTCTGTTTCAGATCTTTTTATGTTCTCCTGGAAAATAGTAGTATTTTCTCTGTTGTCTGCATACCAGAAGTACAGTATTTATATAGCAGAAGCAGTTTCTTTCTTTCGTTGTGGGTTTTGGGGTTTTTGTGTTACTGTTTTGCGTGGAGAGTATTTTAACTTTCCATGTGGACTTGTTACACTATGAGGCATTTCTGGGATCCTGCATGTAACCCATGATGAAAACAGATAGAAAAATAACCAGAAGAAGACAGTGGCAGCTGGATACTAAGGGAGATGGTCCTTTGTGTGAGCTCGGTTGGTGCTTTTTGCCAGCCTTGTTCTCTAGATAATTGCTTCTGTGTTCTTCCATTACCTTCTTTTCACCTAGTTTAAAAAAAAAAATAGTGTGAACTACTGAGAGTTGAATCATCTGTGTTAGATCTTCCCAAAGGCTGAGTTCCAGTAAGTGTTGGGTAGTTGGTATTTACAGTTCCAAAGTGGTTGTAGTAGAATTCTAGTTAATTCCTTAGGCTTCTGAAGAACCTCTGGGGTTTTAAGGTAATCAGATAACATAAAGGATAAGATCTGTGAGTTATGCCTTTCAAATGTAGAATGCAGGTTTCTGTTCCTTCTGATCTTTCCAGCTCGATGGTTAGTAGGGTTATCCAGCTTTAGAGAGTTTGTGATGCCACATTTATAGGTAGAGCAGCAGAGATAAGGAAAACTTAAAGCTCATCTGCAAAGCTACCTGGCATTCTTTTCTCTGCTGTTTTCCAGACTTCAGTCTTGGAGCCAAGCATCCTTGATGCTGTGCTATTTATTGCAGTCTGGATTTAGAGGGATTAAAGTCAGTAACCAGGAGTTTGCCAGTAGTGTTAATGCTGCAATGTAGAAATAGGCCTAGTGAGGATGGACTCATCCCTCTGCACTTACTGTACTAATGTGATGTTACTTTCTCTTGTCTTCCTAATTCCAGGTTTGAAAGAAGGGGGTCAGACCAGGAAAAAGCTGTGACAGCTGTTTTCAGAGAAACATTTTTGATTGGTTTTTAATAGAGACTTTTTTAGTGTATTGCAGCATATGTAGTTGATTTAATTATTTGACAGTTCTTGTTTTTTATTTTAGGGAGGTGCAAGCAAGCCAGCGCTCTGTGGCCATTATTGCTGAGATGATCCATACAGCCAGTCTAGTTCATGATGATGTTATTGATGATGCAAATTCTCGCAGAGGAAAAAGGACACTTAATCAAATCTGGGGAGAGAGAAAAGTGAGTTTGTTAATAAGTGCAAGACTTGCCTTTGAATTTCAGCAGAGCACAAATACTAGAGGTTTGTAACGTTGCTATCCCTAGGTCTTGGAATATGTCAGAAAACATATGAAGAGGTGTGCACAGTTTGTGGGTGAGACAAATGTGTTTTCCTTTTCTGAATGGTTGGAAGCATTAGATAATGAATAATTGAAGTGTGTAAGTGTTGGGCCTGTTCAGCCTCCAGAAGAGACGACTGAGAGGGGTCCTCATGCTAAGTACCTGAAAGCAGTGTCAAGAAGATGGATCCAGGCAAGATCTTCTCAAGTAACAGGACAAGAGGCAATGGACAAAATCTGATGCACAGGAAGCTCCACTTGAATATGAACAGATTGCCCAGAGAGGCTTTGGAGTCTCCCTCACTGGAGAGATTCAAGAATCATCTGCATTCAATCCTGTGCCATGTGTTCTGGGATGACCCTTCTTGAGCAGGGATGTTGGACCAGATGACTGTGGCCCTTCCAACCTGACCTATTCTGTGATTATTACTGATTTTACATTACCTGTGCCATTCTCTGCAATGCTGTTGAAATACTTTAAACTTGTACCTCATCATGAATGCTGATTCAGTGGTGAACACAGAAATGTTTTCAGTCCGTGGGAAATTTTTTTTGAAATTGGTCTTTTCTTCACAGAGCATTACGAGAAAGGTCTTCACCAGAAAATGTAAGGAAGGAACTTGGGGCAATTCAGAGTTCACATGGTGTGAAAGACACAAGATAACGGTCAAATAGAGAACTAATGTTCAAAACCACTTCATTAGCAAACATTTACTGCATACAGGGAGGACAGTGCTTATACAGAAAAATATAAACAGTACTGTAAGATAGAGATTCAAAAATTACACGGATTTCAATATTTAGTAATGTGGTTTTTTGCTCTTAAAAGAAGATATTTGTGTTTTATGTAGGAAAGTTATGTAATGTGAGTAGATCTGATAAATAAAGGAAATTGTACTGTGTAGTAACACAGGAAAAGACTTAAGGGATCACCTTTTTGTTGTTGTTGTTGTTCTTAGGCTGTTCTAGCTGGTGACTTCATCCTCTCAGCTGCTTCTGTAGCTTTAGCACGAATTGGAAATACTACTATCATCTCTGTTCTAACTCAGGTGATTGAAGATCTGGTGCGTGGTAAGGTTTTTTCCTATTTTTAACTTCCCATTTGCTTGCCTGAGCAGTAAAGCCACAAATAAAACCTCCCATCTGTGCAACTTTTTAGGTGAATTCCTCCAACTGGGTTCCAAGGAAAACGAGAATGAGAGATTTGCTCACTACCTCGAGAAGACTTTTAAGAAGACAGCGAGTCTGATAGCAAACAGTTGTAAAGCAGTATGTACGTCTGTCTCTTCTGAAGTTAACATACCATACTGAAAGCTTCACAGCTAAACTCCTGCTATTGCTGTTTGCTCTGGAGCCCCTCCAAAGCAAACCCTTGAAATGGTATTCTGACAGAATGTGAATGGCTTTGAGATTGTGAATTTTATCACAGTTCAGCTGTGCAGCCTCCAATATTGGTTTTCACTTTTTCTTTGGGTTTTTTATTTATACACAGATTTATTGTCATTCCCAATTGAATCAAAATAAGGTTCAAATAATTGTAACAGCAATCTTCACTTTATGAAATTCTGCAACTTTCAGACAGTGGTTTTAAGCTCAGTTGATAATTTTTGAGTCTATAATTTGATTTTAAATCTTCTTCTCGTCCTACTTATTGGTGCTGAGTGAGACCTTAAATGCTACAATTGATTCGTAGAATCAGAGAGTAAGCTGCATTGGAAGGGGCCCATCATCAAGTCCAACTCCTGTCCCTGCATAGATTGTGACCCCAAGAGTCACACCATGTGCCTCAGAGTGTTGTCCAAACACTTCTTGAACTCTGTCAGGTTTAGTGGTGTGACCACTTCCCTGGAGAGCCTTTTCCAGTGCCCAGCCACCCTCTGGGTGAAAACATTTTCCTGATATCTGTACATCACATTGTAAAAAACCAGAAGCACGTAGTTCTTGATTTGTCTGGGGGTTTTAATTATCAGTTACTTTGTCCAACCCTGTCACTCAGTTCTCTTACTTGATTACAGGAAGACCCAATTCAAGATTATGTTCTTATACAAAAATAAATGTTCAGTTTTAGTGCAGAAAATAGAGGTGGGTAATAATCTTGCCTCAAAAGAGAGTTTTGTTTATTCTTTTCAGTGGAAGGCAGTATAGCTGATGGATTCTATAGCAAGCAGGAGTTCTAAGAGGATTAGACTAAAAATCTGTGCTAGTGTTAACCATCTTCTTCTGTTCTCGGAGAACTGGTATATTTGTGCAACAGACAGCAGTTGAAAATTGCTTATATTAAAATGATCACATAGAATGAGACACATGGATTTCGGGTGAGGGAAAAGACCTTTCATTTTAGTTGGATTACTCATATTAATGGCAATATAGCCCTGACAATTTTCTTTCGCAAGTCTTGTTTTATATCAGTGGGCACTTCAACTAGTAAAGAGCATCACATTATTCTGCTACCCCAGGAAAAAAATACACAAGTTTTAATACTCATTTTGAAAGTCTGCCTAAAAAACTTTTGCAGATAGAAGAAATCACATTCCCACTGGGTGGATTCCCTACAAATGTGCTAATTTAAGCTTTTTCCTTTTCATGACTTGCAAGAGTTAAGGGTCTAAGCACTTCCCTCAAGATTGAGGCTGTGATGTTGGTAAAAGGGTTGTTTGGCTGCTTTTCTTCTAGTGGTTAGTGTGAGTTGTTCCATTGCTGAATTGGTGGGATTTTATATGCTGTAAAATTTGTGTTAGAAAGGAAAACTGAGAGAGAAGGTCTCTCTTCATGGCAAATCCTTGCTTGCTGCACATAGTACCAATGAGTTGAATATGTATGTTTCCTTAAGTTTCTTTCTGCATGATTAGGAGAGCTCTATTGGTAGCAGTTAAAAGGGATTTTTTTTTTAAATTGAGGTTTGGGGGGTTTTTTTGTTGCATGTGAGTGTTGAGATATTTTTGTTTAGATGGCTTTGGCTACTGAGGAAATGGAATCAGAAGGGAGTTCTGTTTTCTGTAGCAAAAATGATAAGCAGGATCATCAGTTCTATCTTGAAAGGAAATTCAGTTAGGGAATCAAGAGTATTCATATCTTGTTTTCAGGGGACAAAACTAAGAGGACAGATTATGGATTTTAAAAGCAGTTCTGTTACTGCAAATGGTAGGAAAAACTAGATTTGTTGCTGTGGTTGAATAAAATACAAGTATTAACTGGAAAGAAGATGTCAGACAAGTTCAGGTGGCACCTTAGAATTCCACAGTGCCATGCTTTAGAAATGGAAGAGTAGGAAGAGTAGAGTATTCCTGGAAAAAGCTCTAAATAAGACATACACTGTAATTGATATATTCTGTACCACCAAAGCATTACTGCATTTAAATCAAGATTCTTTAAGTTAGGACTTAGGGACAGAACAGTCTGTTCAAGATGTTAAGAGCTATCCCAGTCTCCAGTTTATTTCTGCATGGGGGAATGTTACCAAAGTTTCAATCAAGTATTGTAAAAGGAAGCAGTGGCAGATGGCCCAGAGTCATTGAAGCCTTAGTTACTGCAAGGCATTTTTCAGAGAAACATGAGGTGACTTTAGTTCAAGAATTCAGAAACAATAAAGCTGAAGTGGAATTTCTGTTAAGTCATCAGGCCAGCTGGAGACAGCAAAATAACTTGAGCAGGTTTTCTGTCTTTTTAAAATCCTGCCATAATGTGAATTCCTGAGCCTGATAAAGCTGTTTGTATTTTGTGTGGTATACTTTCAGATGAGAGAGTGCTTGCTTTGAGGTAAGTGTAAAGGTGCACTGGAGATTCTTGATTTCTGTATTAGGAAGAAGCTTGTGCCTCTTTGTGTAAGGCAGGGCTGTGGAAGGAACTGAAGAAACCAGTAGTCTGCAGCTCTGCATCTACCTGTGAGCTCCTGGTCTAACAAGTTCCTAGTTTGGTGTGTGCACAGCTCCATCAGAAAACCCTACCAGCATGGGGAACTGGTGCCTAGGAAAATAAAACCTCTGACCCCCACCAGCAGAACTGAATCCCCCCAGGCCAACTAGACCTGCAGGCTGCAATAATGTCCAATGGCAGATGTAGGGTAATAGCATAGTAGTATCAGATATTATGGTCAGCTAGTAAATCTCCTTACTTATTATTGAAAATACAGTAAGTCCTTTGAGGGTATTTCTTCTGCTGTGAAAAAGATTTCAATAAATATATCACATATATTCAGGCAGATAATCTTTGCTGCTGAAAAGTACAACTCTGCATAAACCAGTACTTGGTTAACCTGTTAAAATATTAATTACTTGAGAAAAGGTCAAATACATGAAAATGCAGAGTCAGGACAAGATAGTTGTCTGCCTTGCTTAGACATCTCCCTCTTGCAGGGAGGCCTCCATCACCTCCTTCTCCAGGGTAGTTCCCAGGAGGGTTTGGGGAGCCTAGAGAAGTCAGTGGCATTCCCAGCAGCGGTGGAGGATGAGCATGGGGAGGGGACATCTCTGCCAGTGCAGCAGCACATCCAGGGCAGTGGCTGTGAGACCACAGGGCTGAGCTCTCTCATACATGGGCACTCTGCAGGGAGATAGTGAAGGGCCACAGTGAGGGCAGAGGCTGGAGCAAATGATGTGCCAAGAGCTGGTTTGAGTCTGGAGCAGGGAAGACAAAGGGGGAGTCCTCCTGCTGTCTCCAGCTTGTAATTGGAGGGCATAGAGAAGATGGAGAGATGTGCAGTGAAAGGACCAGTACTGTTGAAAAATTCAATTAGGTTTGAGGAAAAATTTCTCCATGAGGTTGGTCGAACATTGCAACAGGTAGCTGAGACAGTGGGATTTTTCATCCTTGAAGATGCTCAGAAATCAACTGGACACAGCTCTGAGAAACCTGATCTAACTGTGAAGTAAACTCTCCTTTGAGCAGATGACTTGCAGAGTTTCCTTCCAGTCTAAACTATTCTGTGATTCTTCTGGAAAGAGGAACACTGCTCCTGTCTAGAAAAACAGTGGTGGATGAGCCAGGAATGAGAAGGCAGGAACCTGACTGCTTCTGGAGATGGGCATGGAGGAGAATGGCTGGAAAAGGGAAAGATTTGAGAGCCTTTTCCTTTCCATGGAGTCCACAAATTTAGGAGTACAAGAACAAACATCTCTTGTAGTGTTTATTCAAGTGTTTATTATTTCTGGCCCAGCAACAGGTTTTCCTCTCTGACCTACAGAGCACTGGTGGAGATGTGCAAATGCTTTCAACTCCATCTGCCATACTGTCACATATTAAATATCAGAGCAGGATGTATCTGGGTACCCAGAGCTGATGATGTATTTTATAGATGTGAAATTCAGTAAAGAGGCAAAATTGGTTTATAGTCTCTCGTATAACAGAACAGAAACAACATTTTTTTTCAGAAAGTGTGTTTGAAATAACACCAAAGAGATTGTCCTGCTTTGCTGAATTCAAAGAACTTTTCTAAAGAATTTGTTCCACTTGGTATTAGGAAGGATTTTTCATCATGATTTAGTGGAAGACAGGCCTGAATTCTTGCAAGAGTAAATACATCATGAGCCAGTCATACCTAATTGGGGAGCTCTAGGCTGTTTTCAAAGGGGGAGTTTTATCATTTAAACATACATCACTGTATTGACTTGGTTATCCTGATTTGTATTTGCAAATGCTTGTATTATCCCAGAACATCCCAGTACAGCTCCAGTTAAACTCCATGTGGGAGTGAGAGGCTGCCTGGCTGCAGCCTGGCCAGTGTCCTGCTGGAGGCAACAATCTACAAGAGCAGTTTGAGAAATTGCAACCTGAAGGAACTCCCTGATTGACACAACCCTGTCATTGCAGTTTTATGACGTGGTCATGGTCAGAGGGTTGTTCACTTGAGGATGACTGGCAAAACTGATCTGAATTTTAAATTTTTTTTTCTTCTGGCAAATAATGCTATTTAAGAGACAAACATCAAAAGAAGGATAAAAGGGCAAAATGTTCTACTTTGATAGTTTCTAGCAACATCTATATAAGTATCTCATATTTGCAGTTCACTCTGTTTAACAGCCTTCAAGACTTTGTATGATTATTAGAGATAAGTAGCATTATTTTCCTGCTATACTGTCCCCTTCCTTTTAAATAAAAGTGGGGAATGTATGATGCTGTTAATTCCTCAGTCATCCAGATTCCTCTAAGGTTTAATTATTATCCACAAATGCAGGTTATGACTGGGAAGTGCACTGATGCATGAAATAATCTTTTTGTGTAAGTTGCATCACATTTATTAGGATATAATGTTGTTTCTTACTTCCATCTTCACGTTCACCTTCAAAGCTACTGCTGGACTTTTTTTTTTAGTTTGGAGTTGGTTTTGGGGTTGGAGGGGTTTTTCTTATGATCCTACCTTACAGAGTGTTAAAGAGGAATTTATATATATATATATATATATATACACAGACACACATACTTTTATATTTCGTGGTTTTCCTAGCATATATTTTTAATCTTAAGTAAAATATATCTTCACTCCTTGTGTTAGTCACGGCAGATTTGGAATGCCTGCAATAAACCAGGGTGGATTTTTGTCCCCTGTTCCTAATTGGTTTATTGAAGGTTGAAATAAATCTGAGTATTTAACCAACTTCATTTTGCAAAATGAATTAGTACATAAATGCAAAAAGCGTAAATGCCCTTACTTTGAAGCAAGATATTAATTCTCAAACCTTAGTTAGTGTCCTGTGGAGTTCTGTGGAGTTTATTCACCAAAATTTCGGTCTCAAGTAGTTGATTATACATTCAAATAAAATGTTTTGTTTATCTCAGTTTAGTGATACCTTTGTGAGCCTGGTGTGCTTTCATTTGCTGGTTTGTTTTTTTTTACCACTAATTATCCCTCAGTACCTTTGCCTGCAAGCTGATCAACTCATCTTCCTGAGCAAGTCAGATAGAGTTAACATCATCTTAAAAGTAATCATCCTTATGTCAACTACCTCTCCTATACTGGGTTCAACACATCCAGCTTTGTGATCTTTCATGAGACATGTAATGTCCATTTATCTGTTGTTATCTGTCCAACTATCCCCTGGCTGATTTATATATGTAATTAGCTTAATTTCCTCATCACTGGGCTATATATGACTACTACCCTGCATGTGAAGTGCATCCACATTTCTCCTCTCTTTATCCTTGCATTGTAGTTTCTAGGCCTGATAAATATTTAATGAAGCTAATCTCTTTGCAGATTTGAATGGAGTTTTATACTGCATTGCTGTTCAGCCTTGTTTTCTGGTAATCTTGGCTAGTTGTGTGTCTCCATGAACAGAGATAAGCCAGAATGTGCCCAAGTCAGCTTTTTTTTGCCTTTCCCAGATCCCTCCTGCCTGTGTCACACCTATGTTCAGGGGCTAAAAGTGGATGCTAACTAAAGCTTTCTGTTTACTTGGGGTTTTTGTCTTTTCAGGTTTCAATTCTAGGCTGCCCCGATCCTAAAGTTCATGAGATTGCATACCAGTATGGAAAAAACGTTGGCATAGCTTTTCAGGTAGTGTTTTTGTTGAACTAAATGGAATCTAAAATCTAAACTTCTCCAAAGTACTGCAGAAATCAAAGTAGGCTGTTTTAATCCTTCCTACAATTCCTGCCTTTAGCAAGGATTATTCTGTATTTAGCTCTAGGGGTTTTTTTAAAGAAATTTTAAATAATCTGAATGTTTATTTTTTCCAGCTGATAGATGATGTGCTGGATTTTACATCGTGTGCCGACCATCTGGGGAAACCAACAGCAGCAGATCTCAAGCTCGGATTAGCCACAGGCCCCGTTTTGTTTGCTTGTCGACAGGTAAGTCAGCAGGAAGCTGTTTCCTCAAAGTAAAAAGTGTAAACTACTCCTCACAGGATGAGCTGAAACACATCAAATCTCCAGTGTCAGTGATGAGAGTGGCCTGGGCACACGGGACAAATCAGTGTGTCAATGCCAGATGGATTCTGTGCACACAAGAAACACCTTCCTGCACAATTCTACTTACTGTTAGGCTCTTGTAGGTATTCAGAGAGTTTTAGCACATTTTGTGAAGGTTATTCCTAAGCAGCTTCTTGTATTTTCTCCTGAGACGTCTTCTTCCCAGGCTTGACTGTGTAGGCTTTTTTGCCTTGTTCTGGGTTTTATATCCATCTGGGGCCAAGAACTGAAATCCCTGCCTTGCCTTTAAGTGCATACCTTTATTTATTGAATTTCTTCATCTCTTTGTCCTAAGTATTAGCCAGTTATAAACATAGGTAGCTTTCCTGTCTGAAGGCTAGATAAGAGAAAAGGGAGTGTCATAAATAAAACAAGCTTAAAATTGGTCAAGATTTCCAGTGCCTTAAAAATTATTTGGAGGAGCAGAATGAAAACAGAAGTGTGAGCAGCATGGATAAAAACATTAAAATTGGTGCTAATCCATAAACAGGAAAGAAACTGGTTTAATTTCTTGCTCCAGTGTCTTGTTCACCAGAGGCAAGCAGATTTGGCACTTAAAAAGCAGTCTTTCCTACCAGGCTTCACAGTCTGATACAGAAACTGGCACAATTAGTTCCAGCAGAGCTCTTGTCTGTGATCTCTCAGTGGAATTGCTTAGAGCTTGACAGGGGAAATGTTGTAAATCATTTTAAAAAAACCCAACAACTTTGACATTTACTTCCCCCTCTAAAAGAGCCGGCTGGGGTGGGGAAGTGGAACATACACATCTGTTTGCTTCCTTATCCTCTGGGCATTTACAAGGATCTGTATCACAGAAGAGACAGGGGAGCACAGAGTGTCAGCCAACTGACAAAGTAGATGAATGCTTATTGAGAACAACCTTCTCCATGTCCTCAGTGTCTCCCCACACTCATCTGGGGCATTCACAAGCATGTTCTTGAATCATTATTTCAGAATTGTGTCATCAGCTACTGGAGCTGTCCAAAGAACAGTAAGGCACTCAGGTAGAGAGGGAGGATGGAACTGTAAAACTGTTTTTGTGTGTGCCAAAGCCATATGCAGAAGGAAACAAGGCATGTTGCAAATACCCAGTTTTGGCAGAGAATACCCAGTTTTTTGGCATTGACTGTCTTGTGGGTGTTGAATATTCCAATTTTTAAATTAAAACTATTTTTTATTAATTTGTTTGGGTTGTCTCTCTGACTTTGAAGTTCATCTATCTTTTAATTAGCTTTAGCGAGATAAATTAGTTCATAATATAGAAATACAAGAAACGAAAATCTGTCACTCCTGTTTTAAAATCTTGTTCTTTGTAGGTCACTTGAAAATGCTTTTCCTCATTTATATCTGTGATAGATGAGAAGTGGACATTTTTGCATTGAAAGATAACTTGATCATCTTATAAAGTTTTCTGCATTAACCAGAAGGCTTCTTTCCTGAAAATGTCCTGCTGTTTTCAAGAAACTGGAAGAACAGCACTGCAGACTTAACTGATACATAAATAAAACATAAGTGCTGAAAAAATGTGGAGCTTCAACAGATGCTTACTTGTGATGCTACTAAAAGATATTTCATATATTTGTATCTGAGAAAAAAACTTATGAGCCAGGACTTGAAGACAGTCCAAAGTGTAATTATTAATTATAGGCTGTCTCTTCAGATTAGTATTGCTGCTATCCTTTCATGTAGCTGGTACACCTCAAGTTGTCTTTCTGACAATCATTCATTAGTTTTTAATCTGCTCTGGATCTTCAGTGACAGATGCCTTTTCTTCCTATCCTCTCTCTCTTTGTGCATTAGACTATTAAGGAGAAGAAAATGTTTACCTTTATATAAAACCTGTTTATTAAGTATTTAAAGTTAGGTCACTCAGTAAAAAAATAAAAACCACCCCATTTATTTTTTAATGCTAGTGTATGCTAATTCTAAAGCTCCTCTTGAATGAGTACAGATGAAGAATGAAGGTTTATTTTTATTATAAGCATTCCTGTTAAATGCTCATGTGCTGCCCACTAAATATGCAGAGTTGCTAATAACAGCTCTGCCTTACAAGTTTCAGGAGTTTCATGTCCTTTAGTGCCTAAATATAAAAAGTGATCCCATATGCATCCTATATAACTGTAAATATGAATAATGTGAAAACTGGTTGCATGAATACTGCAATTAAATTGTCATTACCTGGGAAGGAAAATAGGATCTAGAAAAAGCCATGACTTTCTTTAGATAAAGTGTGAGTCACCACTGAACTTCTGAATGCATCTTCAAGACTATGTATGAGTAATAGGAAAATGTCACAGCACTGAGTGAGGGGTGCTACATGTTTGTACCTGAACAAGGTTGTAAAGCTGCAGTTGGAGGACCAAAGGTGTGCAAGGAAAGCAGTTCATTGTTTACAAGTGTATGGCAATAATACCATCTTTGACTCTAATCCTTTCAGGCAAGATGAACAAACAACTCTTTCCCTTAAAAAGAATTCTTCTATGGAGTAGCTGCCTTGAGTTGTGGCCTTATTTTGTTAAGCACTGGGTTTTTCTGTGCCTAGGCTGTCTGAAGAAAGAGGCTGCATATTTAGCTAAGTGATGTCATTTTTCTCAAAACAACTGATTTACCTACTTGATTTGTAGGGAATTGAGCATTTAGTGCTAACTGCAAACAAAATACCTTATAGTAGTCATTTTTCTCTTATTAAAAAAAAATTGCATATACAAAATACCAGCATAATGGAAAACGTAAGAGAATGTAACAGCCAGTGTTACCATTGGGGGGGGGCAGTTTACAAGTTGAACTGTGTAATCTTGCAACAACAAACATCCCGGGTTCTTTTGTACGTGTGGGGGGCAGAGGTGCTTTTTCTAGGAGTGCCAACACTGACCATCATGTATGATAGAATATCTGATGCAGATTATACACCAGGTAGTTGCCACATCAGAAATGACCACACTGGAGCGTCTGCTTAACATGATAAAATGGCAGGTGCTACCTGTTGGTGCTACCAACTGGCTACAGCCAGCAGAGCCAGATGGTTTAAGTTTTAAATGCTTGAGCTCTGCTATACTGTAGTTCTGTCCAGACTGCAAGTACGAACCTAAAGCTATACCTGTAGCAACAACAATGATGGGGAAGAGGGCTGCACTTTGGTGTCATTCTGACCTTAGCATGGCAGGCAGCTACATGGAAAACAACTCAAAAGCAAGTACAAACCCTTCTCCCTTTGTGCTTAGTTTCCAGAAATGAATGCTATGATAATGAGGAGATTCAGTAAGCCAGGAGATGTTGAACGTGCACGGAAATATGTGTTGCAGGTAAGACTGATACCAAATATTTTTGCTCTTCCTGCTGCTCAGTCTGAAATTCATTGTCTCTCAAGTAAAATAGCAAGGCTGCATTGTCAAATACCTGCTGAGTAGCATGCAATGTACAATGCCAAGTCAGAACTCCTCAGCTCTCCTACTGGCACAGTGTTTTAGCAGAAATGCTAGGTACCAAAGAACTCTTTCTTTTTTTCCCTCTAACAGTATAAAATCCATGTAAGTAAAAAGCTCATGCATGAACTCAGTTCCTTCAGCTGAGGCATAGCTGCATTCAACAGCTGGTATAAGTGGCACATAATTACCAGTCAGTCTTGTAATTGCAGTGCACACCCCATACCAGTTTAATTGACTCTGGTCTAAAAAGACTGAGTAATGGCCTGTGCAAAATTAATACCTCTTTTTCAGAATAGCATGGGGGTTTTGTACATTTCTATTTTAGGGCAGGAGGGGAAGGGATAAACTATTAGTTTCTAGTTTGTTGTTAATACCAGTGCTGTTTTGTAAGTACACTTATATTTAGCATGGATGAGTTTTAGTACTTGGATAGTTTGGGGCGGGTAGGTGGGCTTCCCTGATTACAGAATGAATCCTCTCCCGGTCAGAATACAATGTGTTGGGGTACTCAATGACCTTAAAACTTCTCCCTGTGACTGGAAGAGGCAGAAGGAGGCCAATCAGTCGCGTTTCCTCTCTCTGTCTCCTTCCCTCAGAGTGATGGTGTGCAGCAAACCACCTACCTCGCCCAGCGCTACTGCCACGCCGCCACGCGCGAGATCCGCAAGCTGCGGCCGTCACCCGAGAGAGAGGCCCTCGTGCACCTGACTGAAATGGTTCTCATGCGAGACAAGTGAGGGAACTCCTTCCACTCCTTCTGGCAGCTACTTACCAGACTGTGCCTAAATTCATTTCAAAGGTTATTTGCTTCCAACACAAGCTACCAAAAATTATTTTTTTAGAACAAAACCTCTTTTTTTTTTTAAAGTTCTACTTTTTTTTTTAAACAGAAGTTTAAAATGTTTTACTGCAGGAAGCCATGCAATTCAGAGCAAATCAAACTGTGCTGTACAATTGTTTTAGCGGGGGCTATTGATTGTGGGGGATGGGGAAGATGTTTACATGTTGATGCACAAAGGCCACAATGAGAATAAATATAAATCAGTGTATGAAAACGGAAGCTGTTCCAAATTTCACTTGTTTATACTAATAAACAGAACATGCATGTACAGGAGCTGGTAAACTCCTGTGAAGAGAGATGGTTTGGATGCTTCCCTGGCTGTTTAACAGAAGCACCTGGAATTGTATGTAGAGATACTGGTTTACTGTAAAAGACTACATGTGGATTTTAATAGGTTATATACATCAATGAGTACAAAACCACACCAATTCATGCTACTGGTGGCTACCAACTAGCAGTTAACATGATGCAGAATTTGAGATTGAATAAAAACATTCATTTGGTAGCAGAAAACGAAAGGCTCAGTATTTCTAACTCACACTAAAAATGAATGATTCACCAGCCAGTCAAACTTGCAACTCACTTTCCATCACTCATTTATAGAATATATTCTGTAGCACCCTAGAAGCTGCCTTTGAAGTCCCAGACACATTCCTGTCACAGTAATTACCCAGTACTACCACATTCCTTCTCAGGTTATTTCAGCCACAGAATCTGGAGCAGGGAAGCACACCCTCTCTGGCTGTCTCTGCCTGTGATCCCTTGACAATGGCCAAGTTCCTGTCACGTGTGTTCCCCTGGTGCTGTCTGGAGGACAGCCTGCTCCTGCTCCCTCTGCTCCATGGGGCACTTCCCAGAGCCACAGAGAGAGTTCCCACACAGAACTGTCAGCTACAGATGGTGTCCAGCTTACTGCATCCTGGTAACTAGATTCAATCAAGAATCCTCACTAAAATTAAGTGTTGGCAGAAAAGAACTTTTAAGAGTATGTATAAGTGTGTAATTCAGGTTTCAGATCTAATTTATTTGCCCTCTGTCAGTGATAAAGTCATGTTACAGACATTTGCTTTTTAGTACATTGCCTGGGACAACACAGCCATGATTTTGCTACGTTAGCATTCCAAACTTCTTTGCCAAGCCAACCAACAAAGTAATGGACAAGACCTTTGGTTCACTTATATATTTATGAATGGAAAAAGTCATAATGTAAATTTACTCATTAAAAAAACTTGGGTACAAATTACACATACAGAAGACCACCCATTTTTTGAATCACATGGACACCTTAGACCCAAACAACTCATTGTAATAGACTTTAGTGAGAATACTCCAGGTAAAGATTACAACAATTGGAAGCATCTTGGATTTTTAAAAAAGTATATTTCAATACATAAGTTTGTATGCATGCTTTAAACAAATATAGTTCAAGAATGAGCAAAGAGTCTAAACAAAAAGTAATATGACCAGCACTAACATTAAACTTCTCATCCAGGTTTTAATATGTTAGTCTAACGTAGTGTTAGTTACCATGCTGTACTGAAAAATGTAATGGCACAATCTGATCATGGTTCATTAAATATTATACCCTACTTCCCCATAATATTTAGGCTGGTCATAAAATTAACAATGCATAAGTAAATAAGTATAACCAGTTATAGACAGTTGCTTGTTTTACAAATTGTCATCAGGTAAGACATACTGTCCCCAGAGACTCAAGAGATGGACATTCAATCATACCATTAAAACAGTATGGCCTGAAGAAATGGGCACAATTCTTTGAAAGTATATTAAGACAATTCTGTTAGCTTTTAGTCACCCCTTGTAAATAATCATGGTATGACTTGAATACAAGACCAAACTTTGAAAAGCAAAGGATTTTAATCGGCATAGTGCATGATTGATTCAACATAATTCCCAGGAAACAAGCCAGTTACTCGATTGCAAACTCCTTCATACCAGCCATCATCGTTCTTCTTTATCACATAAATGATTGCACCCTCCATAAACGACAGCTCATCGTCTTTGTCCTTTGTATAGTCATATATAGCAACAACTGTGGAATAAACAGGGACATATTTAGCATTTTATTAATAGCAACAGTATTAAAAAACAATTGTACTTCAGAGAATGTTAAAATAATAGTTTGCTATTGTGAGATTTTCAATAATGAATTCACATGCTTTTCCTGTTGAATGTCAATCCCAGAAAATGGAGTTTCACTTTCCTTGCAACCTTAGCTAGCACTAAGAAGTGGGTGGTGACTACATTGAGCACTCAGTTAAGCTGCTGACAGAGAAGTAAGTCCAACTGTGACACAGTAAAGTGGAGCTTATGGACACTTAAAAGCTGAGTTAGGGAATAACTAATTTGTGTGGTACCCATTTTTGACTAGACTACCTCAAAAGCATGTGGATCTCTTTATATGAATCTCTTGATTAGAATGTGGCCAAAAAAATTTTACAAAAATCATTCCACTGAGGCCCCTCTTGGCACCTCAGCGTGGCCTTGCACATATCACTGCTAAAGCCACTGCACATGAATGGTCTTTTCTACAGAGCTGTTACATCATAAGGAGTTTTAGCATTACTTTTCAAGGAGCTGCACTGAGTTCAAGTAGGAATGCTGCTGAAGATGCAACATCTGTTATTTTCTGTATCTGCTTGATTAATACCTTACTCTTACCAATCTCCAGCTTGCTGTGTGCCATTAACAAAGCAGAGATTTTCCAAGGGAAGAATGTTGCCACCACTAATACTGGAGTTAAAAACTACTGTGAATATACAGACTTCAGATATCACAGCCTTACCCTTCAAAAGTTAACATGGATTTATGCAATTGATCAGATTTATGAATTCCAAGAATCCACTGTTTTACACCTCCATATAGTCTCAGACATCTGATGCCTTAATGCCTAGCAGTGATGTGCTGCATCAGTTCTTTCCATCCCATGGGTATGTCCTGCACAGAGTCCAGCTCGAGTGAAGATGGAACACAGGAGCTGTGCCACAAACATCACAGGTACCCGGCCCATTTTGTACTTGCTGCAGCACCAGCCAGCTCATGAGAAAACTGGAAGCACTGCAGCTGGTAAAATGGTCAGTGCTACAACACAGGCAACTCCACAGGTGGGAAATCTGCTTGTCCATTATTTATGGGAAGAGATGTTTACTACGTGACCTCATACCTAAGCTAAGCACAGTTCACAGTCTGCTGATCTGGAGTCACTGATACATCTCCAAGGAGGCCCCAACACATTTTATAGTTCAAAGTCTAATAATCTACTCCTGTAACCTAGTTTGATGAGATAAATACAGCTTGGAATTTCTGTCCATTTTGCAACAATTTGTACATGACTGCCCCGCAGTCCTGAGGTATGTACAGAAAGTCCAGCTCATCCAAAGATGAAAGCCATCTGCTTCTCAAGAAGAAGCTTGCTTTTTCATCCATTCTAGAATGCTTGAAGATACTTTATAATTTGTCCAAAGGAGGATTATGTCTTACCATACTAGGTATAGACACAAACTAAGGAGAGCACGGTTTGAGTTCTCACTTAGGAGGAACAATGACTGTTTTCATCTGACCATCTAAGTCCTTCATTCCCTTCAAATACCATTAATCCTCTGATACTGCACTAACACAGCTGCAACACTTCTCTTACCTTTCTCTATGTAGTTTTTAGGTGCCCAAGCAGGATCTCCATCTGCATAGGGATCACTGTACTGCACAACAGCAGCTTCCTCATCCTCATAATCCACGGGGGGTGGTGGTGGAGGAGGAGGAGAGTCATCAAACATCGGCATCTCATCGGGAGGCGGCGGCGGGGGAGGAGTCGGGCTATCAGCAACTGGAAACATTTGGAGATTATTGGTTTTCCTTAAATCACGACAGCGTGGAGACGCAAACAAACCTGAGGCTGTACTGTAAATAAAAGGGCTGGGGGACGACACACACAGCATGCACTATAATACCATGCACTGATTAGGAACAGAGGCTTTGTATTAACAACTACAACACACAACTATATTTATTATTAGTGGTCAAATCTATGTGTAAATGCTACTAGAGTCAAAGCACATGCTGCGGGGCATAAGCTGAACATCAGCAGAGAGGAAAGCTTCCTGCTCCAATGTCCATGCGCTGCAGCGTTAGCTATGGAGGACTCCGAGTGGCACCCTCTGAGCCAGGCAGCAACAGGCCTCTGACTGGGCCAGCAGCCTGATTGGTTTTGAACAAATCCTTTGTCTGTAGCAGTCACTTCAATTTACTTCTGAACACTGCTTCCTTGGATTCTTTCTCTTCATTAGGGAACGAAAAGATCTGGTGTGGATCATAAATACTAGTTTCTTCCCTTTTTTAAGATGTGACCAGGTAAGAGGAAGCCAAGTAATCCTTCTGCAGAAGAAAAACTTTGTACAGATCCTTATCTTACAGACTAGCCCATGTGTGTGCACACATTCAGGAATCAATTAATAAATGGAAAACTCTAACAGGCAGTTGCTGCTCTTAGAGAAAAAGTGCTCAAGGAATTAAATGTATAATCCAAAATGTCAAATCCCTGCCCTGAGATTCTCCAATCAGCACAATTACAAGTTGCTTTGGGAAAAGGAAAAAGAGAAAGGCGCGTTATGGTACCAATCACTTTTTAAATCAGTTCATTAAATTAGTTTCCAGTAATGCTGACAGCAGCTGGCAGCGAAATAGAGATGGCATACTCAGATGCAGGACATCAAGTCACTTCATCCTATTCCTAGAGAGATGTGGTCCACTACACATGGACCTAGTGTAAGCATTATGAAGCCACAAGTTACTGAAAGGAAGCTACTGTTACTAAAATCAACTTGGTTACATAGCAACACAGATTAATTTTCAAGAGATCTGGGATTGTGCACACTGAAAACACAGGCTGAAAACCACTGCTCTAGGCAGGGTTTGATGGAACAAGGCATCAGGCTCCAGAATGTGCAGCTCCAGCACACAAATTTTGAAAAGAAAGCCAAGCAACAGAGAAAGAACAACACTACACTGAATGAAGCTTTAAGTACTCGTAGTTACAATGGCACTGGAGATTAGAAATAGGGTTTTTGTTTGCTTGATCACTTTTTACTTTTGGCCGATCATTACTCTAGTGCTGACTTAACCTTTGCTCTTCATCACAGCTCTTGGGCACAGCTCCCATATCCTGTCTGGGTCAGACTGGCTGCACTGGGACAGGTCTGGCA